AGCAAACTTCTGACTCAAGGGATGGATAACTCAATTATTTCATCAATCACGGGTTGCTAAACTACTCAAGCAATCTAAGCATTCACCCAAAGATCTATTAGGATAGCCGTAATAAATCTAATAATTTCCTGAATTAACTAACCAAGCCTAGCACTCAATCAGTCCTTATTATAATCCGGCTGGGCACGATAGCGTTCCACACCAAACAATAATAGAATAAATACCAAGGAAATATAGTTGAACCAAAATCTAAACAATTGAGATAGCTGCAACTATTCAGACTTTGCCTCATTGATTCCACATTTAAACTAACATGCATATTCAATGTCTCACCAATACACCTGCTATGTTTAATTGCTACTCAGTACTGCCGGTTCGTGTCTATTACATAACATTCAACTAGCAGATAGCACTAGAAAATAAATAATAAATCAAGTTGTCAATTCGAATGATATCTACTTTCATAACTTAATACAAGAATCAACGAATACTTAAATCATAGGCAAAAATAATAAATTAAGAACAAAACCTCATAATGGAATAACTGAATAAATCCCTTGAATCAGAAAAGAAAACTTAGCCACTCATAGTTGGAAGTATGACGGTTTGATTTTCCATGGAAAACAATGAAATTTCGGGAAAAACAAGAGGTGGGAGGTGGTAGCCTTTGGCCTCTGCACGGCTGCCCTCTAAAATAAAAATTAAAGTATATTTATATGGGAAATTTATGTCAGCCGCTGGAAAAGAAGAATTAGTCCATGATTTGCATCTTTGGTCCCTTAAGTTTGCATTATTTTCACTTTTACCCCAAAACTTCTTCAATTTTACATTTAAGTCCCTGATCGTGCAAATTAGCCCAAATCAGCTCCAATCCTTTATTTTCAGTTTTTAAAAAGAAATAATAATAAAACCAATGAATTAAATCCATCCGAATCCATAAACTAATAAAATATCAACAATTAAAACACAATTTATGGACTCTATCAAGAATTTTATCTATATAATGAGCTTGACTCAAAACTAGACCATCTATTGTCCTTATGATTTTAAAACCTAATATCACATCAGCTAGACCCATGTCTTTCATGTCAAACTTAGATTTTACATGTTTTTGGTAGATTTGACCAACTTGCCACTACTACCAACAATGAGTATATCGTCTACATATAGACAAAATATGACATAATCGTCTTCTATCTTCTTGATATAAACGCATTTGTCATATTCATTAATCTTGAATCCATTAGTAATCATTGCATGGTCAAATTTTTCATGCTACTTTTTAGGTACTTGCTTTAGACCATACATGGACTTTACTAGTTTACAAACTTTCTTTTCTGTTCCTGAAGCTCGGAAACCCTCGGGTTATTCCATATAGATTTATTCATCTAAATCTCTATTTAAGAAAGCTGTTTTAACATCCATTTGATGTATTTCCAAATTCCTTAAGGCTGCGATAGCAAGTGTCATCCTTATGGAATTTATTCTCGTCACAGGAGAATACGTATCAAAGTAGTCTAAACCTTTTCGTTGTTTATACCCTTTGATTACAAGCCTGGCCTCGTATTTATCAATGAAACCATCAGGCTTCATTTTCCTCTTAACGATCTATTTAGATCCTAACGGTTTTTGTCCAGGTGGGAGATCAACAAGCTCCCAAGTATGATTCTGTAAAATTGAATCAACCTCACTGTTTATGACTTCTTCCCATAAAGGTCCCTCAGAAGAACTTACTGCCTCAGCGTAAGTTAGAGGTTCTCTCTCCCACAAAATCATCATCGAATGATTTCTCTACTCTTGCCCTTTTGCTCCGTCTTGGTTCAACATTTTGAACCTCAACCAAATCATGAACTTCTTCATGAGTTTGTTTTGATGAACTGTCTTCATCCTTAGTCTTGTAAGGCAATACATTTTCAAAGAAAGATGCATTTCTTGATTCCAAAACTGTGTTCTTGTGTATATCCGAAATCTTCAAATCATGCACTAAGAACCGATATGCATTACTATTCTGTGCATAGCCAATAAAAATACAATCGACCGTTTTAGGTCCAATTTTTATTGCCTTTGGCGGAGATACAACTACCTTTGCCAGACACTCCCACACTCGCAAGTGTTTGTAGGATGATCTCTTTCCTTTCCATAATTCATATGGAGTCTTGTCTTTTTTCTTTCGGGGAACCCTATTTAATAGGTAATTACTAGACAAGACGGCTTCCCCCTACATATTGGGTGGTAGGCCTGAACTTAACAACATCGCATTCATCATTTCTTTCAATGTGCGAACTTTCCGTTCATCAACCCCATTAGATTGAGGTGAATAAGGTGTTGTCACTTCATGAACAATTCCATGTTGTGCACAAAAGCCACCAATCGGTGCTTCACACTCGTCACCTCTATCACTTCTCAATCTCTTGAACTTTTTACCAAGTTGATTCTCAACTTTGGTTTTGTAGAGAACGAATTTCTCTAATGGTTCGTCTTTACTTTTTAACAAGTAAACATAGCAATATTTCATGCTATCATCAATAAACGTGATAAAATACTTATTACTACCTCATGTTCGAACCGATTTCAAATCACAAACATTACTGTGAACTAATTCAAGTTGTTCAGTACTCCTTTCAACCGTTTGAAAAGATGACCTCGTTAACTTTGCTTCGACTCAAATTTCACATTTATTTCCTAAATTAATTTGGAATGTTGGTATATGGTTCAAGTTAATTAATCGACGCATCGAATCAGAATTTACATGACCTAGTTACCATGCCATAAATTGGAAGACTCAATCAAATAAGCAGAAGAGGTACTTCCATTCATTTCATCGACAATAGTCATTACATTGAGTTTGAACAACCCATCGGTTACATACGCCTTCCCAACAAACATTCCTGCCTTAGACAGAACAACCTTATTAGACTCTATTACAATGCGAAACCCATTCTTGTTTAGCATGAATCCTGACACAAGGTTCTTGTGCACTTCTGGCACATACAGCACATCTGTGAGTGTCAGAGTCTTGCCCGAAGTCATCTTGAGCTTCACAGTTCCTTTGCCTTCAACAGTGGCAACAACAGCATTTCCCATGTAGATCTTCTCTCCATGGACTAGTTCAAAGGTGGTGAAGTGGCTTTTATGGATGCACACGTACCAGGACGCACCAGTGTCCATCCACCATTCCTTTGGGTTGGACTCCACCATGTTCACTTGAGTCACCATAGCAACGAGGTGCATGTCCTCCACATCCTTAGTGATGTTGTTGACCTTGTTCGCCTCATGATCCTTCTTTGGGGAGCGGCAATCAGCAAACCTGTGACCTGGTTTGCCACAGTTAAAACAATTATCTTTGAATCTGTGATTCTGCTTAGAGACACCACCAGTAGTCCCTAGCTTCCCCTTGCCTTTGTTGGCGTTCTTGCTCTTGGCCTTGTTCTTCGAGCCTTGGCCTTTACCATGCTCCACAATATTGACCTTAGCCTGTACGCCATTGGATGCCTTTAGTTTTGACTTCCTATTGTCTTCTTCAATGAGAAGTCTAACAATCAGATCCAAGGTCATCTCCTTGCGCTTGTGCTTGAGGTAGTTCTTGAAATCCCTCCAGCTCGGAGGCAACTTTTCAATGACCGCAGCCACTTGGAAGGTTTCACTCAAGATCATCCCCTCAGCCTGGATGTCGTGCAGAATCAACTGGATCTCTTGCACTTGAATATCAACAGACTTGGAATCTACCACCACATAATCAAGGAACCGTCTGACTACTAATTCCTTCGAGTCGGCATCCTCCGATTTATGTTTTCGATCCATGAATTCCCATAAATCCTTAGCCATCTTAATTTTTTCATACACATTATATAATGAATCATGAATAGCATTCAAAATATAACCACGGCAAAGGAAATCTGACTATTTCCAAGCCTCATATGCATGGACCGTTGGTGCGTCCGAAGTACCTTTAGGCAACGGAGGAGCAACACCAGTCAGAAAGCTCGCCAAGTTCAGCGTCGTCAGGTAAAATAGTTTCTTTTGTTGCCACCTCTTGAAAGTCGCAGTCGTCCCATTGAACTTCTCCGGCTTCTCCACGTGGCTAGTTGGAACGTTGGGCATAGCGGGAATAGCAACAGAGCTCGCAACCCCGGGAGCAATGGCAACGCCGGGTACAACAGCAGCGGGAGTGGCACTAGCAACAACAGCACCAACAACATCAACACTAACACCATCTGCCATCACGAATACACAAAATCAAAAGAAATCTGTTTAAAGGAAATCGTGTTTTTACGAGTCTCGAATTTTCGTTTATGCTAATTCATCTATAGCCATTGCAAATACTTTACCCATATTTCTACCAACATATTACTCAACTGAAAATTCAAAATCCTGAATCTACAATTGAACAATGAAAAATATATATATATATATATATCCATCTACTCTAACAATCCAACAATAATGAACAACTACTCTTTGAAACCATTTAAGCATGAGTCCAAAAATGGAAGTTTCTCATCTCTCTGTAGGCTCAGATGAAGTGTGAAAGAGAGCACATATATCGTTGTGAATCTATACATGTGGAGTGAGCTATGTTGTGGAAGATATTCAAAAGATAAGTTTGTTAACTAAATCCAACTAAACAAAGTTGTTAAGATTTGTCAATGTTGATTAGTTAAATAAATTTATCATTTCAACTCAGTGGTGGAGCTAAGAATTGAATAAAGCGGGGGCGATGCTTTGTAAAATGAATCTAGCAGGGGACAAAACAAAAAAATTTATAATATCTATAGCTAAAATTATCGACAAAGCTGGTGAAGAAGAGATATTCTTAGAGTTTCTTACAATACAGTGGAAGTTTATTAGCAAACAAAACGACAAAAAACGGCTTTAGAACAACAACGTACGTGGAAAATGTGAAACAAACAACTTGAAAGCAGGGTATTTTAAAATAAATTTTATTAGTGCAGCGCTGATCAGATTCATCCTTGGCTCATGACGAATCTGCAATATCTGATTTAACCCTCGAATGTCAGGCCGGAATCACCAAATTTTTCTTTCATTAGGCTTGCAACACGACTTGCTGATGTCGGGTTCAAGTAATTGATCCAATCCCCGACTTCTCCTTTTCTGAAAAAAACGTTGTTACTAACTCGAAAGTTCGCATTCCATTTTCCCGGCTTGTTAACTTCCATGTTACTCAGACTCTCAAAGCTACAGAGCTTGACAATTTGTTCAACTAACCCATTTTTCTCTTCTTCCTCTGCGAAAGGCATTTGTAAGAACTGAGCAATTCTTTTCACTACTGAACGGCAATCCTTCTTAAGATCCTCATATTTGATAAACAACACCTTTCCAGGGAACTTCAAGCTTGCATTCCAGTACCCCTGTATTTGTTCCCAGAAGGGCCCGTAATTCTGTTTTCCCTGGAGAAACAAATCAAGAGCGTCTTCTATGGCAAATTCCGGCTTCACATCCCAACACATTTGTTCATGGAAATGCCAATCGGATACGAATTGATCCAAAGGGTTCCTACAAAGATAGACAATCTTACATTTGGAGCTGAAAATGGAATCAGGGAGTGAAGCATACGGCATGTGAGTCGCGAAAACGTGATAGTCGCGACCTTCATCGCGGTTCCTCTGCCCGGCAAGTTGGAATTCGAAAGGCACGAGCTCGTGAGGATTTGAAGTATGAAGAGGGCTTTGAGAAACTGAGTAAATGTCGCGGTTGACAATGCTGAAGGCCAGTGCTTTCAGCCATGTCGTGCCCGATTTCGGCATGGTTGCTAAGAGAATATCGTTGTCTTTTGAATCATAATTTCTTTGGAACGAAATCAGAGGTCTAAGTAGTCTTTCGGGGCACCAAAATCCATCTTCATGTAAGATCAATGACCAATTCATGATTTTCTCCCTTGGAAGCTTCTCAATCAACTGATCAATGTCATCATGATGAGGATCCTTTCCACCTTCCTGATGATTCTTTCTACCAGCCTTGTTGATCAGTGCTGGAATCCTAGTTTCAACTGTAACCATCTTGATGATAATTAATGATAATGGTAAGTATCTATATCTGGGAAATTATGGATTTGGTCGAATGGAGACTAAAATTACTTAATGCTGAATTCAAAGTTTGGGCAATTTATTGTCAACTAAAGAACTCAAAGTTGATTGATTGGTGCAGCAGATGCTGAATACATGGTTCTATTTATAGCGAATATGAACCTGCTAAACCAAAAAATTTTCCAGTGTTGAAGATTGGCATTTTGCATTATTAAATGAATTAAATTTCCCAGGATTCTCATTTATAAATTGAATATTAATACATAACTCACAAAATGTCACTTTGGGAGTGCTGGAGCGGTAAGATTATGAAATGGACCTAGTCTCCAAGGTTCCAGTGAAAGTTGACGACAAATTATCACGGGAAATGAAATACTTAATTATCCGAAGGTTACTGATTGATAGTCATGTTGTTGTCCTGATCAACGACTGAAAGAAGACTCAATCGAGCTACGGAACAAAAATTAAAAAATACTATTTCCGTCCCAAAAAAAATAGTGCACAGTGAGTTTTCAAATTTGTACTAAAAAGAGTACAAAACTCAAACCTCAATTTGAACTATTTTTGTAGGACGGAGGGAGTAATTAATTATTAAAACTTGCTGGCTTTAAGATGTTAATGGATCAGACGCTTCTCCTTACACTGTGATCTTTATACTCAGTCCAGAGCTCAAGAGAGGAATAGAAATTTGACCCCTCGTACAGTATTACAATGGACGGCAATGACTATTGAGTATTTCTTTTTCCATTGGCAAAACTTCCTACAAACACAACAACAATTGGTGTTGGCAATCCTATACTCGGCTTTTAGAGTTGGATCAGTACTTTTTAGCTAGATTTGTTCATTTCAATAAGAGATTTGTACTGTTTGTCTGGATTATTCATATATTTTACATAGTAGAGTGATTTGATGAAAGGGTCATCCATTACGCGTAAAAACTTTTTAAACGTCATCGACATGCAGTTCTTTTTTTTAAAAAAAAAAAAAAACCAAAAACCAAGTCCAAAAACTACTGTTGTTGCAATCCATAATTAGGTGAGTAAGAACTACTTATGATATCATTTCTAATTTATTATGAACTTAATAAACTATTATTAATTCGTATTATACACTGTTTATGATAAGAGTTTTGACAAGCGAAACTTGTTATAGCCTGCCTTCTACAAAATGACAACAACAAGATTCGAAGTTGGAATAATGAACTTCATCGTCGGAGTGACGACAATTTGGACTAGATCACATGGTTTTTAACCAAACTAACGAATGCGTTCGGTTTTTTGTTTGGATATATCGAAAATAAAAGTGGCTTGGAATCACTTTGAGAGGTTGACGCACATGCATTGGTTAAAGCTGATGGACCCTACATATTCCTAATCCAAGTTTGAGTCCATCCAAGAATATACAACAGTAATTGTTAATTAAAAGAATTTTTGCTAGCGAAAAGAAATATAATTTTCACGGATAGAACTTTTCTCATATGGGGACCTTAATAAAAACAAAATGAAGTCTTCATTCCATAATAAAGTTTAGTTCAGTGCGCATTATATTTGGATTTAACAAAAACGATTGTGATTTGGGATGGGAGGATACAGTACAAATCTTGCTATATCTCTGTTGTATCTTCCCGTGTATAAGCACAAGGACAATGGTGCTGGGTCTATACGCATTTGTCCGTCCACATAGATTAACCGTTCCAAGAATTTTCCAGTAGGAGAATTATAAAAATATATACTTTTTTCGTTCCTAATTTTTTGTTCAGTTTAGATTACCGTTTTTAAGGTGAATTTTATAAAATAAAAGTATTAACTGAACAGCATTTTTATAACATAAGAAATATATATAAGACTGTTTGGACATGTGTCATTTATTTTGAATTTCTTTTATTGGTGGAATCAGTCAGTAGTCTACAATGAACAAACAAATTTTGCATTTAATTAAAATATAAAAGCGCGTATATTGAGCATAAAGGACAATTAATGTTGTGTATTTCTGGAATATTTATCAAAATATCAATCGAATAAAACAAAAAAAAAAAACTAATGGATATTTATTTATTTATTTTTTAAAAAAACCAACTAATGTTGCTGATTAGGTAAAAACAGAAACATCTGGCGGAGATGATGCTTTGTCGTTTTTCAGTGTTTTGTTTAGGTATCTACCACAATATTAACCTGATTGACGATCCATGCCTCCAATTTAAAAAAATAAATAAAAAAATAATTTACAGTACGTTATTACTGAAATCAAAAGGAAAGAACTCATAATTAATTCTTAACTGCTGTAGCATTGTCAGATTTTGTTTTGGCTAGGGATCAACTTTAAATTTATTGGCCAATTATTTACTTATTAGTTTGATTGAGGTTCTTAAGACTCCGCAAAGAGAATACTATTCCTGATATGGATGCCATGCTAGAAAAAGAAAATCATAATGACTTTTCAAAATGAATAATATGTGAGGAGCATTTTTTTAGAAATTAATATTAACCGATATCATATGGACCACCAGTTATTGACTATTTCTTCTATCATTATTGGTGGGATTGACTTCGCAAGTTCCAGTTGAAAGTTTAAATTGTTGATACCATGGACTAAGGTTTTAATACACATACGTCTTTGAATGTAATTTTCCGAAAGAATAAGAACAGACATTTATGTACAGAAAATTGAAAAAGAAAATTTTACATCAACCAACACAATGTAGTCGAATGAATACCAACAGATATGGTGAATTGGACATTGGCATTTCTTTGAGTAAATTCGGAACGATGCAAGTTCGTTGTTATGCTGTTCCTGACTAGTAGCTTCGTATACAACCAGCAACCGGAAAAGTTGATGGAGATTTTTTGAGAACGCGCAAACTAATGTTACTCGAGAATTACATTTCTATCTTCTCACAAACTCCGAAAAGGCTAACGTTCCGTGCAAAACTAATGGCATTAATATAAACAAAAGTCATGAGGTGTTCCAATCTTGAAACTTTGATTCACTTGTTCCACTCGTCGAGATATATATATAATTCAAATAATGGATTATTCACGATTGAATACTCCACGTAAATTTATTGTTACGATTCCAAAATTTATCAAAATATCAAAAGGTTTTATTTAAGACGTTAATCTGAAACTTTACATAATATGACAGGTGCGTCATGCATGGTGAATACTAGATCATAGTACGAGTGTTGGATAGGTTTACTTTTAGAATTGAAATATATATTATATGTTTTCAATTTGACTCTGAACTTTTTCACAATGACGAAGTAATTCAAATAAATAATGTATCGAGTGAATTAATATCTGAACTCGCAAGAATATATATTACTATTATTATTAGAGTTATTTATCCGCTTATTGGAATGAAATGTGGATGGATAATGTAATGGGGTTGGTGGTGTAGTCGGAGATATTCAATGCACATCAGATAAAATTCAATGAAAACTGACATGGGAGTACTAATGGCTGTACTCTCCAGCTTTTCCGGGAGAGTTCATAGCAAATAGGGTAAATACGTTGAGTTCAAGAGTCTCTATCCAGGCATGTAGGACAAAAGAATATGAGGCCATTTTCTTTTCTTTCAATCATTTAACATGCCCTTCTCAAGCCCAATAGGCTTGGACGGGTCATCTTGTCTTTTTTTCTTTTTTTTTTTTTCAACTTGTGATCGGTTATTTTTCCGGATAAACCGTCGCCTGCCGGGCCAGTCAAAGTTTAAAGTCAAAGCCCGAATCTGGGCAAGTCAAAGGTTCAGTATCAGTCAGTCAACCTCGCCCACAAGTCCCACAGGTCCGCGGATAAAACTCGCTCTGATACCATCTTGAAGACCCAACAGACCCACATGTGGTTCCACCTCAAAACCATGTCAGATCCCGGCGGAAATTGCCTGAATTACAAACGGACACTGAAGAACAGGAAAATCCCAAAGTGGGGAGTAAAGAAGAAAAACTGAAAATGATATATTTTCCTTCACAAAACCTCCCTCTGCAAGATTACATCCCTTTTATATGCTAGTCAGAAATGCCAAATGCATGTGCTCAACTGTCTATGGGAAAAATCCAGAAAGGAACCAGTTGGCCGCAATTTGCAAAAACAGAAAAACAACTAAGATGATCTGAATTGCATTTAATACCCCACAGTTCCAAATAAACCCCTCGACTAACATAAATTTTATTTCAACCCCAACCTGTGACAACTCCCTCCCTGATAAGATCTACCTTGTCCTCAAGGTTTAAAACCTGAGAACTACTTCTGCAGAAATCCCTGGTCTTCCCAGGAAGCATCATCTTCACTGAATCCCTTCCATTGAGTAAGCCATTGCACAACCTGATGGTTATCTCGTAGAATGAACCGACGTTTCAACACCTTCTCCGGACACAAGATTGATTCTTCTAGCAAAGAAAAATCAGGTGGTGGAGTACTTGTAGCGGGAACATGGCCATGAAATCTTTTGAGAAGAGACATATGAAAGACATCATGGATTCTGACCTGAGCTGGAAACTGCAACTTATAGGCAACCGATCCAATTTTTTCCTTAATCTTGTAGGGACCAAAGAATCTTAAAGACAGCTTTAAGTATGATCTGACTGCCAATGTGGACTGTTTATATGGCTGCAGTTTCAGAAAGACCCAATCACCCACTTCGAACGACCTTTCAGACAGTTTTTGATCTGCGTATACCTTCATCCTGTTCTGAGCCTTTACCAAATGTTCTTTCAACAGTTTCAAAATCATAACTTTCTGGCTAATCTTATCATCAGCAGCAGGTATAACACTTTCAACAATGGGACCCAATGGAAAGGGAGTGGGTTTGTCGCCATACAAGGCTTCAAAGGGAGACATTTGAGTGCTGACATGGTAGGAAGTATTGTACCACCACTCAGCCATAGGTAACCAAGAGCTCTAGAAATCCGGTTTTTCACCACAAAAACATCTTAAAGTAAGTTTCTATGCACTGATTTACCCTTTCCGTTTGACCAT